CTTGCGGCCGCCGCCGCCGCTCCCCCTCCGCCACCCACCTGGGCGCCCCGGCGGGCGCGGCGGGGAGGCGCGGGCAACTCGCCCCGCTCCGCGCGCGGGGGATGCAGCACAATCACCATGGGCGCAGCGCGGCGGGGCGGGACGGCCGTGAGGGGACGGTCCCAACCACCCCCCCGCCCGCCCCCTCCCCGGGCACGGCGGACCCCACCCCCGCGGGCTCGCGCCCGCTCAGCCCGACATCTCACCCGCCCCGGGCACCGCCGAGCCTGAGGGGACCCGCGGGGCGCCCACCCCCACCCCCTCCGGCACCGGGCCTGGGAAGAGAGGGCGCGGGGCGACGAAGGCTCCGGGGAGACGCGCCCCTTCCTCCCCGCCGGCGGCGCGGTCCTAGAGGGAAGCGAGCGACGCGACGCTCTGCTCGTTCCCCCCCCCACCACCCCGCCTTCCCCCCTGCTCGGTGTCCCTCCTCCCCGCGGCTGAGGCGAGGAGGCCGCGGCTGTTCCCTGCACCGAGCCCCCCGCCCGCCGCCGCCTCCCGCGCTCGCTGCCGCCGCCTCACAGCGAAGCGGCGGCGCTGCCGTAACGGCCGGGCCGGGCCTGGCACGCGCGGGGCGGGCGCGAGGGCGGCGGCGCCGGGATGCCTCGGACCGCACTGAGCCGAACCGGACCGGACCGAACCGAGCTGCTGCCCGTGAGCGGCGGCACCACCCGCGGGCTGAGACCGCTGCTGTCTAAAGGCCTCCCACAGAATGGGTCAGGTTGGAGGGGACCACAGTGGTCATCTGGGCCAACCTGCCTGCTCCAGCCGGCCATCCCAGAGCTCGTGGCACAGAATTGCGTCCAAACAGTTCTCAAATATCTCCAGTAAGGGACACTGTACAACCTTTCTGTGCAATCTCTTCCAGCACGCAATCACCTACACAGCAAAGTTCTTACTCATATTCAGGTGGAACTTCCAGAGCACCAGTTTCTGCCCCTTGCCTCATGTCCTAATAGTCAGCACCATCAAGCAGAGCCTGGCTCCGTCCTCTTGGTATCCCCCCTTTAACTGCTTATAGATACTGCTAAGGTGCCCCCCTCTTCTCGAGGCTGAGTAGACCCCACTCACTCAGCCCTTCCTTGCAAGAGAGCTGCACTAGTTCTCCAGTCATCCTCTTCACGCCCCCCCAGACCTGCTCCAGGAGCTTCACATTGCTCCTTACTGAGGAACCCAGACTGCACACTGCACTCCAGATGCAGCCTCACTAAGTCCAAGTAGAGGGGCAGGATCACATCCCACGACCTGCTGACAAAGCTGTTCCTCATGCTCTTCCTCACACCCACTCCTACCCTTCTCCCCTGCCCCAGACGGGGCTTCAGTCCAGCCCCTACTGCCGTGGCTGACCCCAGCCCAGGTCCTGCCGTGCCCAGCTTCTCCTGCAGCCACACCTTCCACCCCTGACTGCCCACTCCAGGGTGCAGATGCCAGGTCACTGCCACAGGTGACCGGCCCCAGTACAGCCCATCCAGCTGTGCCGTCTGGCAGTGCAGCAAAACATACGCCACTTGTGCTTGTCACTGTTGCTGCTGCTGTTGGCATATGGTGTGCAAAGCCAGAACCCTCGTACTTCATGTGACAGGTAAAAATGTGACACAACCACAGAACCAATTTTGTTGGAAAAGACCTCTGAGATCATCAGGTCCAACTTGTGACCGAACACCACCATGGCAATAGACCATGGCACTGAGTGCCACATCCAATCTTTCCCTAAACACCTCTAGGAACAGTGACTCCACCACCTGCCTGGGCAGATCTTTCCAGTACCTAATCACACTTCCAGGGAAAAAATTCTTCCTAATGTCCAGCCTAAACCTCGCAGTTTAAGCCTATGTCCCACAGGCCACTCATCATACAGCACCATGTACCTGACACACCCAGCTTGCAGCCAGGGCTGCACCATCCCTCACTGCTGTCGGCGATAAGAGAGATGGGGACAACTGACTCGGTGATCAGAATCCGATTTTACTGCGGGCTACATAAGCTTATATACCATTCTAGGAAGGCTACAATGATTGGGTTAAACATCATATAAACATATAAACAAACGTATGCATATTTCAACATTGATTCAATCTTTTCTCTGTTGCCAGGCCTGATTCAATCTTCTTGCCATCCTCAAAGCTCTGTTTGTTCCTGCCAAGGCATCTTGGCTATCAGATCTCTTATGCTAATCAAGTGTAAAGTACTTTCTGATTTCACCATATCTCCCCCTTCTTTTTCTACCAAAAATATTCCCTTGATGGCTTTATTAATTAATCTCTGGATACACTGAAGTAAACAAGGCATCAAAATTAATGCAAGTATTATCAAAATCAATACATGCATACCTATTCTAAACAAATCTTTTAGCTGGGGTGTTAAACCCCAGCCATTAACCAGGTTATCTAGCTAAGATTCAGATTCTATTCTTAGTTTAAACACACTATTTTTCAGTTGCTATATGCCTTTATGGATAGATTCTGAGTTATTAAACAGGTTGAAGATGGATTTTCTGGGGAGGCAGTAGCTAAGCATAGGGTATCTTGTTTTGTTACATTGGCTAGAGTTATCTAAGCATTTGTTTTGGGTTGGTTAAGAGGCTAATATGTGTCAGTAAAAGCAAGCAATGTTAATAAGCATAAGCATACCGTTCATTTAATTCCATGCTTGTTTCTTAACTATGTTGTGGCAAAAACTTCTTTTTGGATTTTAGTTTTCAAGCATATCTTTCAGCACATTCTTTTTTTGTTTTTTTCCCAAGCTTGTCCAGGGACTGGCCAAATATAAGGCACTAAGTTGTTTTGTTTGCACTCTACTTTGCAAATATGTCTATTTTCAGATTCCCTCAACACTTCCCTGGACTATTACTGGACTATTGGCTTTTTGAGATAACAGTCACATCGGCTCCATGGAGTATCAATGAGTCTTGTCAGAGTCACTTTGCATTGGCATGTGAGAAGATGTAATAGGCTGTGTCCAAAAAATCTGTGGGATCTACCCCAGTGGAGCCAAACCCCTCTCCCCTCTGTTCAGCTCTCAGGGGTTTCAGATAGGGGTGCTTCTACAAAAAGTATGAGTTGGGCTACATTGCTCCCAGCCAGGACCACACAGGGCAGCTGGGGGGTCCAAGCCATGATCTTTATTTCCCCCACTGAGTCAGACTCAATGATTCCTAGCAACACAAATAATCTGGATATCGAGGTAGAAGACCTACCTACAACCAAAGCATGGTAACCAGGTTTCAAAGGTCCAGAAATTCCTGTAGAGAGACAAAACACTGAGCAATCAGTTAATGTTACTGTGTTACAGGTTGATATGTCCAGTCCGGCGCTCTCTGGGGTGGCTGCACATAGGTCAGACACAGCCCGGTGTGGGGAGGCTGGGCTGGTTGGAAGCTGGCAGCTGCTCCTGGTTGCTGCATCTGCTGCTGCATCGGCTGTGGGATTTGTGTCTGCACACATCGCTGTCCTGTGCTCCGAGATGAGTCTCCCTGTAAAGGCTGGCCATTCTGGTGGAACTTGGAGCAACAGAGATTAACCTTAATTCCTGAGTGGCCTAAGGGCTCCAGTTGTGGGTTTCCCCCACCTCAGGCCAAGCACAAAAATTTCTGCTGTGGTATCAAAGTCTCTGTCCTTAAGGGCTTTCATTTTTATCCGGAGCCAATTATTATGCATGTGCAAAAGGAGTAAGTCCAGGTCTTTTTTGGTACCGGTGTCAAAAGGATCCAGTTCCTCTTCACTGCCAGAGTCAGTGTCCACTGCATAAGCGTCCCATCCCATCCGGCAGCTCTGAGATTGCTGGCGATATAGCAGTGAGGCTGGAAGGGTGACCGGGCTCTATCCCTGGTGCTCACTGGGGAGGGCGTGAAGATCTGGGATGGGGAGAGGGATCTGGGCAGCTTTTGGTCCAGCACGGTTGCCAGGGCCGTCTCAGAGGTAGCCTCGCAAGCAGCCTCACCACTCCTCTCCCTATTAATCGTGTCCATGACCACCCTCCAAGCAGGGAGCATTCGCAGCTCTGGCTCGTGTCCAGGTCGTAGAGCTTTACGCCGACCTTGTCCCAGAAGCAGAGGGTAAAAGCAGAAGAGGGAGTGGCATCGGGAAACATTCGTGACACCCATGGTAAACGTGACTTAAAGTCATGCTTTAGAATGGGGGAGCCATGCTTTCTTAAGAGGGCGAGAATGGGTTCATTAACATCTCTCTCTTCGGACACATTCCGTCCCATAGTTTCATTCCCCCGGCTCACCTGTCACGGCGCAGCTGATGAGGTGATTGTGGACCCAGACGCGGTTCTCTCACCGCCACGATCAGTTCTGGGGCCACTCCGACTGCCACCACTTAGGTCAGTCCTTTTCCTCACACGGTGAGCACCAATTATGAGCGATGAAGGGAAACGGGGACAACTGACTCGGTGATCAGAATCCGATTTTACTGTGGGCTACGTAAGCTTATATACCATTCTAGGAAGGCTACAATGATTGGGTTAAACATCATATAAACATATAAACAAACGTATGCATATTTCAACATTGATTCAATCTTTTCTCTGTTGCCAGGCCTGATTCAATCTTCTTGCCATCCTCAAAGCTCTGTTTGTTCCTGCCAAGGCATCTTGGCTATCAGATCTCTTATGCTAATCAAGTGTAAAGTACTTTCTGATTTCACCATGCTGTCACTTCTCTAAAATAATAACTACTGGCAACAAACAAATATGACACATCCCCTTTATCAACGGACACACCTTGTTGATCAGTTTCTGTGGCACACCTACTCTGTTTCCTCGGTACCACACCCTTTTCATTCACTATATTGTGTCGGCTGTATATTTCACATTTTCCTGTGTGAATTTCTCCTTCACCCAGCTTTCAGAATCTCTAGACACAACACACACTGCGCACCAGGGGAAGAACATGTGTGTTCCTCAATAACCTGTGTTGCACTCCCAGCTTCACAAATATGGGATACAGCCACTGTTCATTCCCAAACACCCATCCTACCACAATGTTCCCATTCAACCTGTATTCTTCCACCCCTTCAGCATGTGGCAGTGCTGGCATACCTATCTTAATTCTCTCACCTGAACAATAGACAGGTTGTTAATTTCGTTCTGCAAACATCTGGGTCCTACTCCCCAAATCTCACATGTGATTCAGGCAGCTCTTCTGAAAATTATTTGCTTAATAGGCGTGAGGTAAGGCTACTTCACAGATGATGTCAGAGGCCAAAATTCCTATTTACTAGACATCATCCAATGCTCTCCTGTCTGCTTGGGTTGCTTG